AGCAGCGTGGGCTTTGTTGTGGAGAAAAAGAGAAGAGGGAGAAGCAGCTGATAGAGACGGAAAACACACGAGGCGCAAATGATGTCGGAGACGTTCACGGGGAGAAAAACCTGGAGTGAGAAAACGGCAGCGATTTAAAGCGATCGAGTTCCTTTTTTTTTTTCTTTTTCAAAGAGAGAACCAGGAAGCTGCTACTTTTATTGTTACAGGCTGCAGTTACTACAGCTGACGTCGCTACTTCTGCTACTACAGTGAAGTTCTGCTTTTTTTGGGGGGGGGGGTGAGAATTTACCGGTGAGTGTTACTGTTTTGTTCTTTAATTCTTTGATGAGCTAACTTTTGCACTTTATTATTTGTGTTTTACTTGGATTGGAAGCGGGGGGTATTTTGTGATGGGCACTCCAGGTGATTTTGCAATGAAAGTAAAACATTCTGGTCAGGTTTTTCTGTGCAACCTTAAGGCTCTAAGGAGAGTTCTTTAACATTATTGCAAGTTAATACTCAAAGAGAAAGGAAAACTTATTGGAAAACACTTTTGAGGAGTGGAAATTAGTCATTTTTAAATGCAAGCTGCATTTGCACATCAGCTAAAAGTCATCACACAAGTGGAGGACTTGTTTGTCTAAATGATAAAAAGCTGCTTTCCGTTTGAGCTTCAACACTTACACTCATGCAAAGTTATTGTTATTGAGCAGTAACGGCTGCCAGGCGGAATCACTCAGTGACTGGAAACCGAACAGGATTGGGCTGTAATTAAGTTAGAGATTCCGTGTCGTTGTGCTGTGGCCTGGAGATATTTAAGCAACTTCTGCTTTCTGCTCACATTTACACACCTCAGCTTTCAGACGGTTATGCGTGTGTGGGCAACGTAATTAGGTGAGAGTTAAATGAGAGGTACCTTTGCGAATCCCCGCCCCCCCCCTCCCCAGTCTGCAAACACACTTCTTAGCAATGCAGTTCCCATGCGTGCATGTTATTCTCAGGCTGTGGCTTTCACAGGTCAGTGCGTGGAGTTGGAATTATAAAATCAGGGCCAGAACCATATGCCTCTGTTTGGGTGAAATGTACACATGTCAGTCGTGTGTTTATCGGATTTTGATCATTTATTTATTTTGGATGACTACTTATTCTTCTTCTGCTCTCAGTTCTTGAAAATCATCCGTAATGTCTCAATATTTTTTGCAAATTGGTTTAATTTTGAGTAAAATTTATTGGATACTTTCTAATTGCATAATGATCATAATGATATTGACTTTTGTTCAAACTGACCTAAAGTTAATTTTTCATTTAGTTTTTTTTACTCTGTTTCACCTTATTTCTATAAATTTTCATGAATTGCATGACTAATACTCGATGAAAAGTGTATTTTAAATGACTACTGCAGCTTAATGGAAGTTTTTTTTTCTTTTTTAGGCCTAGCTTTAGCAGATTTAAAGTTGCCCTGGTTACTTTCTTTGTTTATAGATATATCAAAATGATTTTTCTGTTAACATGCTCTCAGTTTGGATGAGATGTGATGGTTGAGGTTGAATCAGAAGTCTCTCTACGGGGTTTTTTCTTTGGTTGAAAATCTGCTGCGATAAAGTAAATTAATCTCAAAATCCCTCTTTTGCTCAACTTGCCGTCAGACCTTTGAGATTTGAGTTGTTTTAGATGGTGGAAGTAGACTCTACTGTCATTGCTGTTGTGAATAGATGTTAGGTAGACTTAGTTCCTTCCTCATTTTCCAAATTGAGACCACAATGACTTCTGTGTAATGCAGACAGGCTGCTCAAAAGTACTGCATACAACCCCCTAAAAACCAGTGGAGTATCCATTTAACTGGCTTTGGGAAATAGTTAAATCAGCCATGATAACATATCTAACTGGAGTGCTTTGTTGAATTTAGACTAGATGGCATACAGTAATGTCCCTTGTGTTTAACTGAAACCATATGCTGCCATTCAGACGGCACACAAAGCAAACGCTGCTTATTTCAGCAAGACAATGTCAGACTCGATTGGATCCGGAAATATAAAAATTAGAGCTCCCTCCAAACTTTTCTCGTGCATTCATTTAATCCTCTAAGTTGATGGGACTTGATTGACACTCCAAATTCTTCCAGGTGTTGGAAGAATCAATCGCGTTTGGCTGCATCACGGAGCCGGCAGAAGCTAACACCTTTTCTATGATAATGTCACAGCAGGAGCGTTGGATGAAAGAAATCTTCTAAGCTGGTTTTCTTGAAAGGTAGAGTCTTGTAAAGGTGCTCGATGCGTTTTACACAAACGCGATAATGAGCCAATGGTGCGACGTTAATCTCTGGTATGAAGTTGTGTGTTGCTTTGGTGGCTGACACATTATTTGAGTGGATTACAGAAGGAGATCAAAGAGGTCGTCCTCACGCTGATTTCCATGAGGGTGAATTAAGACCTGCTGGTACTTCAAACTTTTTTTGATCCACCGTTGCGGGGTTTACAGCTTCCAGCTCCTTAAATCAGCATAACTCTGTATGCAGGTTGGCTTTGCTGTTGTTTGTGAGCCTGCTTTGTGCGACTTCTCCTGGTGGGCAACTGATCCGGAGCCCCCCGAAACTAGACACTGCTCTATTCTACGCCCACTTTCACTCATTTTCCAATTAAGCTGCTTTCACGGTGCCCCGGCTGGGCCCTCAGAGAATACTGTAAAGCTTCCATAGTTGCTCCATATTGCCTCAGTCACAGAGGCTGGGATGAAAGCTTGGCCCCCTTGAGAGCTCCAGTGTGCACTCTCAGACCCCCACTCCCACCAAGCCATATATTGTTATTGAAATAGGAGATGGTTATCGCGCTCCTTTCTTCCGTCATTTCGCACTTTCTTTCACACTTCCACAATGATAATTACGCGATCATATCGCAGTGTTGCTGAGTCTAATGAATACATAAAAGGGGAGTGGGGCCACCACTTTGTAGCTTTATTCCTAGCAGGGAGTGCTTTCTTGCTTTTATCAAATCTCCCCCTTTTATTGTTTGATTTAAGCTTATGTTGATTTGGAAGTAGATTGCTTTCCCCAGTCTTTAGTCTGGAGAAATTCCACGTTTTATAGACAACAATGAAGTCGAATGCTGCTTCGAAATACTGTTTGGATGTTACATGCAATTGATCACTAACAGAAAAAAATGGAAATAATTTAAACTTGTTAAATAGGTAGATATTGGGTAAAAAAGAAAATTCCACGTTTTATAGACCACAATGAAGTCGAATGCTGCTCCAAAATACTGTTTGGATGTTACATGCAATTGATCACTAACAGAAAAAAATTGAAATAATTTAAACTTGTTATTTTGGTAGATATTGGGTAAAACCTTTTCTGCGGCGGACACTACAGACTCATTGGTAATTGTCATTGATTAGCGCAATCTGGTGTCTTTTTTTTTTTTTTTTGCAAACAGGCTGGTGGTCAGTTTACACCTGAGGAGTTTAAAGGTGCTAGGGGTCTGCAGAATGGTCTGTGGACAGATTTGGTGAAGTCCAATGGACAATCTGGATGGCTACCCACTCACTGTCTGAGTGGCCGTTTCAAATGTCCAACCTTGATCTTGACTCAGACCTTAAAGATGAAGGAACTGGCACATGGCTAGTTATTGCAGTCATTTATAAGTAACACGCAGTTGACCCCAACAACAGAAACAACTGCCAGTCAATCCTGTACACATTGAATTTACCCACAAAGAAAAATTTGTTGTAAATTACAGTATCTTTGTGTATCATCAGATCTGGGAAACTGCGAAGATTGATTAAAAAAGATTTTATGTAACAGAAATCATCTGCATTAAAAGTTGTTATTGTTTTATATGCTGCAAATGTAAACACAGTAAAGCGTCACCATATTTACTGTTTTTTTCTGGCAGAAAAAGAGAGGCTGAATGGTCAAACAGGCCGGCCTCTGGGGAGCTGTGACTTTTAACCCGGCCCTCAGTGAAAGGAAGAGACCTACACAAAGGGCCTGCCAATCTCGAATGCGTCTGAAAAATCTAAACAAGACTGTGTGGGACCACTCAGTCAATCATTTCCCTGTTTTTTTTTGTTTTGCTATCCCAACCCCATAATTTTCTCCTTCCATGCTTCAGCTCAGGGATTCCTTTGAAAGCCCCCTTTTATGAAGGAGAGCAGATGCACTCATTATTATTATTATTATCGTTTTAAAGAGCTAGATTTTGTTTTTGCACCTTCTCGCTCTTTGTCATACAACATCAAACTAAAACCAAAGCAAACCTAGCAATCATCTTTTGAGTAGGATTCAATTTGTCGCGTAATTGTCACATTATTGCAGAGAATTCTAACATTTATCCTCTCGCTCTTATCCCGGTTTCCCAGTTACGCTCCCTGGTGCACTCCTCGCCCCGGTTTCTTCCACCTCAGCAACTCGTCGCTCCTCTTTCAACTCCTCCTCCTCCTCCATGCAGACCTCATACCGACTGCCCAACCCCTTGCCGCCCCTCCCCGTTCGCAAGGGTGTCCGAGGTCGTCGCCCCAAATCCCAGACTATCGCTTTGCTGAAGGCGGCGGCCGAGGCGGCGGCGGCCGAGGCGGCGGCGGCGGTAGTAAATGGAGCCCCGCAGAGTCCGGCCAGAACTGGCTCTGAGACTCAACTGGCCCCCAGACCACACAAGAAGAGAGGGCCCAAGCCCAAGGGCAAGGTGAGATGTCAGAAGAGTTGTAATCTGTTATGACGTGAGCGGGTGACCCTGTCGGTTTATGTTATAGCTGTTATAGGAGAGGTGATTCTTAGAAAGATAGGAAACAGAGAAAGGTTTGCTAATTGAGTAGAGAGATATAAAGAGTGCAAAATGCTTGTGCAAAATGACGTAATTTACGAGAGGTGGGTTCCGTTTACAAGCTGCTGCATGTGCCGCGAAGCCGAGTGGAAGCTCGGAAAGAATTGATGATTAACAGCCTTTGCGGGTTTCAGAGATTTAATGGACAAGGTTTTGTTTGTTCTTCGCTCTAGAAGAAGCCTCGGGTGGGGCAATCCCTGGGGGTATCGCCAGTTACAACTCCGCCCCCAGAGACCAGAGTGAGTGCCAGCCATGTCTCAGTGGACAACAACCTCAGCAACAACTCGAATGTAGTTTGCACAGGTGACAAACCAACACATTTGATCCTAAAGACTGAATAGAGATAGAATGGTTTTAAAGTACTGTACGACCCAACTGTTGATCCTTGGGTATCTGCATTTAGTTTTTAAAACTTTATTGACCGGAGATTGAGTTTCAACTAGATGAAAGCTCAGTAATGAAGGGTAAATTTAAAAAAAAAATTTCAGTTAGACTGTTCAAAGATTGGGACATATGTTGTTTTATTATATTAAATCGTTACCTGATATATGCAGCATATTAAGTTTGAAAACCCCTACTAAATATATAAATAACTTTAACAACTGTTTTATGATTGAATGAACTCCAGCTCAATTCGACATTTGATAAAAACACTATTTCACTGTTTAAAAAAAAAGTTGATGAAGGCGTCTTTTGCTTTTCTGATATTTTCTCCTTCCTTGTCCTCCTAGTGTGTGTCTATGTCAACAAGCACGGTGACTTTGGCCCACGTCTGGACCGAAAACTAGTGCAGCAGCTGCCGGACCATTTCGGTCCGGCACCGGTCAACGCGGTGCTTCAGCAGGCGGTCCAGGCCTGTGTGGACTGTACGTACCAACCCTCAGTGCTGCTGTCCTTCCTACAGAGCCAGTCCCACACCGGAGGAGAGGTCATCAGAGGTAAATGTGGCCAATTCAACCAGATGCACAAATAACTCCAAATAAGAAACATTTCTACATTGTTTTAAAAAAAAATCCCCAATAGTAAAGCTTTTAGTTTCTCAAACTATCTAAAAAAATGACACCACATTTTGATAATTTTTTGAAGAAATACAAATGAATTCCACTATTTTTACTGTTTTTTATTAATACTCTAATAAATTCTGCTAACAGCTATGGTAATGCTAAAACCTTAATGTTGTGCAGTATTGTGTTTGTTGTCCATGGGCAGGAGTCTAAAATCACAACAGGGTTCCTAATGAAGGTTTCTTGGGTAGGCTTTCTCTATGCAAGTCACTGCACTTCATTTGAAGATAAGCCTTGTTATGCTATTTTCATGTTATTAATATTAATTCAGCCTGAATAATTCATTAGTCAGAGTTTAGTGGCTTAAAAACAAAAGAAAAGAGTCCGGTTCATGGAATAGACTAAAACATTCTAAAGAAATACCCCAAAACTGAGAATGCTCTTTGAAAATAAAATTTGAAGAAAATATTGCATGGCTCAAGATCTTTTCTCAGCACTGTAAATGTGAACTTATGGTCGGCTTAGCATATATATGTATATATAAAAATTCAGTTTTGCAACCACCTCTGAGAAATCCCTTAAAACAAGTTAGATTGTGCACCTTTTTCTTCAATGTGTAAAAATGTAATTTTGCTTTAATGTGACAAGTAAAGTGTTGGACCATTTCAAAGTCAAAATTCTCCCAGGTCTCTGTGGCTGCTTAGCATTTCACCTTAAGCAAGAAGTCATTTGAATTGGAAATTGCCCAGGCCGAATAAATGAGGTATGAAGTGTCAATAGATTAAAGGTGCTTGTCAGTTGGTTGCTATCCACTTTTTCTGACTGCTAAGCTAAGCTTTGCTGTTCCTGGGAGACAGCTCACATTTTTTTTAAATTCGACATGGGACTCAATCCCCATCACGTCACTCTTAGAACAAGTTCAAAATCCCTTCCTTTGAAAGCAGTTAGAGGGTTAGAAGGTCTTTCTAATTTCAAATGCTCAATGTCCTGGATGGGGGATCAACCAGGAGAAACATATTTATTATTTATGTATTATTTACAGTCAGTATGTCCACATAGCACTAGAAAAACATCATTGTGTTTCCAGAGTAAAAAACTAGACTTTTAAAATGCGAGTTTGGGGTAACTGGGCAAATATGATTAAGCAGGCAGGGAGTAAATCAGTTCAGTCCTCAGTCCTCCTCGTATGTTCGAGCCACCTGAGGGTCTTCTCGCATAGCCTTCTGCATCATAAGACATGCTTCAGTAAATTACTTTATTCTGCCCTTATATGCCGCAATAAGGACAAAGATGGTGGTCCAGTTAAGTGGACCAGCATTTAAATATGTAAATGTGTCCAACTCAACTGTGCATGTAACTGTGCTGAATGGGTGTGTTTGCATTGTAAAGGGCAGACCAGGAGAATAAAAGATGACGCTTGTGGCAGCAGCTGATGTGAGAAATGAGAGTGTAATCAGAAGTGACATGTGCGCCTAACCTGGTTTGGGACTCTGGGATTGAGTCTCCCCTGGGGGGACTGGATAGAGGAGGCTGTGGGTAGTATTGGGAGGGGAGAGCGGCTTTAATTTGTGGATTTGTCCTGGCTTGGCTTGGGTGGGAGGGTGTAGTTATACATGGGGTGAGGTAAAAAATAAGATTTTCTTTTTTTTTTTATAAAGGGAAGATGCTAACCCTGAACCATCTGCTGTTTTCTAAAACTGGGAAACAGTGTTTGATGCAGAATACGAAGCAGACAGTTAGGAACCAGTAAGCGAGAGGGGTCGGTAGAAGAAAATCACACAAATTTATATTTTTGGTGTATTTCACAGAAACATAACTTGATGTAAAAAACAAACAAAACAATTTACCTTAAATCTGACTCAAAACTTCGCTATTTATAACAATTATTCCCTCTTTTCCTTATATTATCAGTTAACTTTGATCACTGTTTTTTATATATATATATAATAAGATTGAATATTGTGAAGAATTGGAGCAGAACGGCCATGAAAGGGACCCTACATGCCACATTAATTCTTAATGGGAGAAGCGTAGCTGCAAAAATGAGTACAACATTTTTTGGGGGCATTCTTTTTAATGTTTGATTAGCTGGTAGGCATGACTTCATCTCTCCGTAATGAAAGAGCTGCCCTTTCTGCGAAGGCATGCGGCCTGACCGCGTTCAGACTAACCCCCGGTTCTGCTCGGCCCCTCAGTTCGGTCCGAGCACGGCATCCGCTACGTGAAGCTGCCCTCGGCCTCCAGCGCGTCCTCGGTGCTGCGGTTCCTGGAGAACATGTGTCAACATCTGGAGAGCGACTGTCTGTTCAGCTCACAGCCGTTTAGTCCTTACAGCAACAACGCACGCTTCTACAGCAGAGCCAAGTCAGGTGGGTGTTCATCTGTAAAAAGGGGAAAAATTCATGTTATCTTTTCAAAAACGTTTTTTAAATTTATTTTCTTTTACCTAAAACTGATTTGTTCAAGTTCACCATCTTCTGCTAAATGTTTTGTTAGATTTTTTTAAATTGTATTTGGTTTAGTTGCAATTTATGCTTAATGGGAGCACACACACACACATATACAGTGGGGGAAATAAGTATTTGACCCCTTGCTGATTTTGCAGGTTTGCCCACTTTCAAAGAATGCAACCATCTAAAAATTTTATCAAATGTACATTCTAACAGTGAGAGACAGAATCCCAAAGAAAATTCCAGAAATTCACATCATATGAATTTATAGAAATTGATAACCATCTGATGAGGAAAAATAAGTATTTGACCCCCTACCAAACAGCAAGTATTATGGCTCCTACAAGCCAGTTAGTCTTTCTTTAAGACACAGCCCCAATCCCAACCAATTATCTACATCAAATATACCTGCCTCACCTTGTTACCTGTATAAAAGACACGTGTCAACACCCAAACAACCAGCATCCAACATCACCACCATGGGCAAGACCAAAGAGCTTTCTACGGACATCAGGGACAAGATTGTTGATCTGCACAAGGCTGGGATGGGCTACAAGAGATTCAGAAAACAACCTGGAGAGAAAAGAACAACTGTCGGTGCAGTTATCAGGAAATGGAAGAAGCACCACACCACCGCCAACCTCCCTCAGTCTGGGCCTCCACACAAGATCTCGCCTCGTGGGGTGTCCCTGACCATGCGAACGGTGAAGAATCATCCCAAAACCACAAGGGCGGAACTGAAGAATCAACTGAAGGCAGCTGGGACCACAGTTACAAAAGAAACGGTTGGTAACACACTACACCGTCATGGATTGAAATCTTGCAGCGCACGCAAGGTCCCCCTGCTGAAGAAGAAACATGTACAGGCCTGCATGAAGTTCTCCATTCACCACCTGGACGACTCAGAAGAGGCCTGGAAGAAGTTGATGTGGTCAGATGAGACCAAAATAGAACTTTTTGGCCTCAACTCAACTCGTTGTGTTTGGAGGGCAAAGAACACCGAGTACAACCCAAAGAACACAATCCCCACCGTCAAGCATGGTGGTGGCAACATCATGCTTTGGGGGTGCTTTTCAGCCAAGGGGACGGGACAACTCCATCATATTGAGGGGAGGATGGACGGGTTCATGTATCGTGGAATTCTGGACCAACATCTCCTTCCCTCAGTGAGAGAGCTGAAGATGGGTCGAGGATGGGTGTTTCAGCACGACAACGACCCTAAGCAGACCGCCAAAGCAACAAAAGGGTGGCTGAAGAAGAAGCACATCAAGGTTTTGGAGTGGCCAAGCCAGTCTCCAGACCTGAATCCACTTGAAAATCTTTGGAGGGAGCTTAAAATTCGAGTTGCCAGGCGACAACCTCGGAACCTGAATGATTTGGAGGCTGTCTGCAGGGAGGAGTGGGCCAACATCCCTGCCGAAATGTGCACAAACCTTGTCACCAACTATGAAAACCGTTTGACATCTGTGCTGGCCAATAATGGCTTTTCTATAGAATATTAAAATGCTGTTTGTCCAGGGGGTCAAATACTTATTTTTCCTCATCAGATGGTTATCTATTTTTATAAATTCATATGATGTGAATTTCTGGAATTTTCTTTGGGATTATGTCTCTCACTGTTAGAATGTACATATGATTAAAGTTATAGATCGTTGCATTATTTGTAAGTGGGCAAACCTGCAAAATCAGCAAGGGGTCAAATACTTATTTCCCCCACTGTATATATATATATAAAATTTACTATTTTTGCTCCTTTTGCCCTGCAAGTTTTTCCCCCCATCTCATGAATATCAGGAAATTGTAAAAAGTATTAATTACGGTCAAATTTATAGTTATAGACTAGCCTTTTGAATTTTGCTACTGGAGTCCATTACTGTATGACTATGTTTAGGTGGTCATAGTTTATCTACTTTGCCCTTCATCTTGCAGCCTTTGTCTTCTGTTTTCTCCAAACAGAACCCTCGCCCATCACTGAGAACGGCCTGTCCAACGACAGCTCCTCCAAGGATCCCACTCCCAACACTCGCCCCGTTCACAGCACGCTGGACTACAGAGCGGCAAAGAGAGAGCGGCCATATTACCCCGGACACACACAAATCCCGCCACCCATTCGACGGGTCAGCTCCAACCCCGCTGAGCTCGGCCCGATGGGTCCAAACAGACGAGTGGAGGGTAGGCTTGAAAATGCACAAGTAGCCATCAGGGCGAAAAGGTCCAAATGTTTTGGTTGTGTTTTATGAATAACGGGAAAGGCTCTGGGTGTTCACCGGGTTTGTTTTTTTGCTTTTCGTTGTCCTTGCACACACACACACACACACAGCAGCTAGCTCAACAACGGGCCCAGACCACGTGAAGCCGGACAAAGAGAGTTCGGGGAACAACGCCTCTTCCTGGTCGGTGGACGATGTCATCCGGTTTGTCCAGGAGGCCGATCCCCAGACCCTCGGCCCTCACGTGGACCTGTTCAGAAAACACGTGAGTGTGCAGGTTACTGGAATGTTCCTTCACCCGAGTACATCTGGCTGCAGACTGCAGGAAGCCAAGGATGGGTATCCAACTCCGCCCATATCCAAGTCAGCCATTTTGATTCTGTCACCAATAGTAAGACCCCAGGCAAGAAAATCTTAATCGCTTCATGGCAATATAGATATTAATTTAAAAATAGTGAAATTAATCTTGCAAACACTGAATTAAACTCCATACTTAAAATAGTGTATGTTAAATAGGTTTGTACAAAAAGTCCAAATAAATTTAACCAAAAAATATTTCTTTCTCACAATTATGAAGGGTGGAGGGTTAGGGTTAGGGTTTGGGTTATGGTCAGGGTTAGGGATAGGGTTATGGTTAGGGTTAGGGTTAGGGCTATGGTCAGGGTTAGGGTTATAGTCAGGGTTAGGGTTAGGATTGGAGTCAGGGTCAGGGTTAGGCTCAGGGTAAGGGTCAGGGTCAGGATTAGGGTTATGGTCAGGGTTAGGACATCGTTTGTCCTCTGATTTCGTATAGACAGTAAAGTTTTGTTTCCACCTCAGAAAGCTGCTAGTCACATGACCTAATCAAAATGGCCGACTTGGATGTGGGAGGAGTTGGATATCCAGCCGAGGCGTGCCAGAGGCTGCTCCCATCACCGGCTCTGTATCTAACCTTCATGGGGTTTTTGTGCTTGCATCCCTCCGTTTTCCTGCAGGAGATCGACGGCAAAGCTCTGATGCTGCTGCGCAGCGACGTGATTATGAAGTACATGGGACTGAAGCTGGGCCCGGCCCTCAAACTGTGCCACCACATCGAGAAGCTGAAACAGACTAAACAGTAGAGGGGGGACGGCACTCGGCCCTCACCGGCAGCCGGACACACGGACACGCATCACCACACACGTCCACCGAGGACCCCCAGCTCATGTCCAGAAAACAGGACCTCTTTATTTTAGATCCTGTACAGTATTGTCTTAACGGAGGCTTATTCACAAAAGTCGTCATTTTACGATTTATTTTTTAATCGGAATTTTGACGTTCGGTTTTAGGGAATTTATAGAAGATACATTTCTGTAATACCACGAGGAAATTGAAATGAAATATCAAAAGACAACAGATAAAAGGGAAGAATTTTCCTTTTTGACCTCAGTATTTCTAAAATGCTAGCGACTGCCACAAGCAATTATGGACCAGGACTTTAAATCAGAGTGCATTGAATCATGTGCATTGACTACAATCTAATATGTCTGAATTGTGTTTTTTTTCTCCATACTATGAATAACCAGATGCTGTCTACATTGCCAATTGAATTCACACTCACAGACATACGCTGTAGGTTTTGTCTAGTTTGTCCCCACCTTTTTTTTTTTTTTTCCCACTGTTAAAACACGTCTTTCCATGGTCTGAATTTCAGGATGGATCCGGGCTGAAGGCTGGGAGAGTGAGTTCAGGTACTGGCAGCGAACGTCTCGCTGCATCATCTCGATCAATGCAATAACATTTTCTGAATGACTGCATTACAGAAAGCTAAACTCGGTTTGTGCGTGCCAGCTAAGGCGTGGGCACGAGTGCCAGGAGGAGGGTCGAAATCATGGGAATCAGAGCTGTACAAAGTCTTGTTTGCTGAAGTCAATCGTAGCAGAAATATTCTTGTCCTCAGACACTTACGTTTTTATTCACAGAGATTATATATTTAGTAGAATAGGAACCAGGTTGGTTAAATAGTGGCAATCGTACGTTAGAGGAGGAGCCTTGTTTGGTTGTGAATCAGCAGTGCGGCGGTTAGAAGTAGAGGAACAGTTACTTCTCTTTTATTTGTGTCTGTCTGCATACTGAGGGACATCCTTCCCGGTCCGTCTGAGCTTGAGGACTGATGTATTACGCTCTTATGGTCCAACTATTAAACGCACACACACGAGACCCACAGTGACTGGAATACTTCAAGTGTTTGACGGTAGAATAAAAAGCGACGTTTAAGCTCTGTACAGAGAGAAAAACACCACGGAGAAACAGTTTTGTATAAAGTTAGGCTAAAAAGTTGTTTTTTTTAAAACATCATTTTGTACTGTAACCCAGTGTATTGGCCTGTATCAAACGTAAATGTAACCTTTTTTTTTTCTTTTTTTCTGCCTGAAATAGTTTCTGTGCGCGCCATCAAACGACTACCTGCGGGACGATTCGGTGTCTGAGTAATTAATCATTCATTCAAAATGTTTTATCTGTTTTTAACGGCAGAATGACTCATTCTCTGAACATTTCAGAATCATTTTCATACCAAATCGTGTCTGTTGTACCTGCTTTTCACACTGTTGCTCTCCTTTAGTGGCAACAAGTTGAATACTTGAAGCCGTCTTGCTTTAATGTGAAACTCAGGTTTAAGTGAGGGTTGTTTTCTTGATGTTTTACATCATTAACATGTTGTGTTCATTACTATAGCATAGAGTGACTGCACAATTATCAACTATGTATATTTTTAAATGCCTTTTTCATCTGTTGCTCTGTAGCATTTCATGTATTCGACTTTTTACAGTAAGTTCAGCGAAAGATGTTTGTTAAAAACTGTATGTTTGCTATGCATTCACACAATTAAACGTTTGTTTACATCATCTTAGTGTCATCTTAGGCCAACGGCAGGGCTACTAGCATGCTTAGTTCAGGGTTCTACAAACAAAGTAATCCCCCTTATAACCTATCATTGCTGGATTCTTCGAGTCCATTGTTATTTAAATTAAATCTTTTGTGCTCAAGGAAATCACTGTAATTCATGATTAAAAATGAAAAAGCAATTACTTTGAATGAAAGGCAAAAAGACATAAAAGGAAGGAGCATGCAAAAGGATGGCAGAGGTTACTTTCTAGTTGGTGTGAAGTTTGTATGTCTGTGGGGGATGTAAGAGCTCACAGGTCAAAGGATCACGATGTCTTATTTAGGGAATGTGACGGTCCAATAGGAATCAATGTTCAAAAGATCAGTGAGTTCAAACGACTCCACAGCAGCAGCCCAAATAAACAGGCTCATTGTGGCTCCTACAGATTCTTTAGGAGTGATAAATGTGTTTCCTGGCTGTAAAACAGACTACTTTCACACCAGATCCATGCTGAGGGCTTCACTTCCCATCCAGATGTTAGCACAGATTTTAGGGATAAACAGTCCTAAATAGATACAGGAAGCAGTTCTAATAAACATGATGATTTCTAACTATTTTAAATGACTAACTTTTACCACCAAAAGGCTTTTGCTGTCTAAAGAGAAAAACAGAAATTCATAGCTGTGGACTAAATTCTCACAAATCAGCAATATTTGATTTAAAAAAACTGTTTCCTAGAAATGTAGATAAAAATTCAAACAAGTTTGGAATTGAACAGCATTTTCCAAAACAGATTTTGCAGATTTAAAAAAAAATGTTTCACACATTGTAGATATCTAGAACTATTTATCTATTTTACTTGGCTCTATTGCAGGTTGCAGGAACATGTGCTACAACACGATATTTTCCAATGATAGTGGTGATATTTGGTGGTATGAAGAATTGCCCATCCCATCTTTATGTGTCCCATTGCAGTTGCAAACAGATTATATCGAAATATTTAATTTGACGTGTTTGAGATCAATACTAAAATAAAAGTTTAAGTTCGAAGCAATGTCCTATAGGATCTGATTCGAAAGGAAAAAAACAACAGCATATTGTGCAGCTTTGCCACTTTATTTAGTTCATTACGATGAATTTGTAGCTCATTCAATCAACAGAATGCTTTGATTTGTGCCAGGACCGGAGGCTGTCAGTTTTAGCTCCAACTGATTGAGTTCAATCTGCACAAAAATAAAAAAAAAAAATAAAAAAACGAACTTAAAAATATTTTACAGTTACAGAAATAAGCGAGGCTGATTTTCAACAGAACCCTTTTGGAAAACTTTGTCAAAGACTGAAAGTCCTGCAACAGTCAAAAATGAAGCTGAGAAGGGATAAAGCTTTTTTTTTTTTTTTAAACGTTCCAAATGCACGTGTGATTAGGTCGGACAGAAATAACTTTTTTTTTTTTTTTCAGCCTTGGTCTTATATTTATTTGGAATACATGAAAACAGGATATCCGAAGCCCTGGCATGTACCACATACAAAATACATCTGGGAGAAGCCATTTTTTTATTTATTAATTAAATTCAATTGTCGATAATAGATTATCTTTTACACATTTATTAAAGTCAGGGCTATTTTTATTCAGATTTTTTTGTGTGGTATATCTTATTAACATACGCAGCATTTTTCTGTTTTGTGAAATGAGTCTAGTTTAGAATTTTGTCAAACAAAAGCTACCGTACTTAAATGTCGACGTCTATCAGGGGCGTTTTCAGACCCCGGAAACCTGATAATGCGTAAACACTGCCACCTAGCGGGGGGATGATCTCAGTGCACTCTGAAGTTTGAGGAAATGAATTGTCACACAGAAGGCCTTCCATTTCAATGCAATCACATTTATTGGCTTTTTTTTCTCTAAGCACAGTTACTAAGCAGCCTGATGAGCTGTTAAAATGAATAAGATATAGAATAATGAAATTTTCACAATGATTTGGCGTCCTTCTGAAAATAAATAAATACAAGACTGAAGGTGTTGCACAGCTCCAAAATATACAAAGGCTTGGAAATAATCATGTAAACTTGAAAAAAAAACTTTCTTGTTTTTAATATTTTATTGATTTATTTTACAAAAGAAAGAATTTGCAACATTTTTTTCTCCAAAAACATATGTACAGATTTATACAAAAATACAAAAGTGATTCAAATCTGTTAAATCCTAGCTAGTTTTAAACACGGAGCTTTTATTTTAATAGTTACAGATTTTTTTTTTTCAGTGTCTACATTTTTCCTGCTCTGTCAGTTTTTTTAAAAGTCTGCTTAGTGATATTCCATACTGTACACCTCTGAATAAAAATATCAAGTGGTTTTTCACACTTTCCATTAGGTTAAAATTGCACACAGACATTCGACACAGGTTGGTTATGAAATCAATAAAATTGAGAGATTCTTCCGCTTTTGTATTCCCAAGCTGCTCACGATTTAGGGTTGAGGGTAATAAGGTTGCAAGGCAGCCTCAAAGTCTGTATTTATGACCAAATTAAGTCAGTAAATCCTCTATCTGCTGCTTCTATAAATAAAGGAAACAGTCTTGCAGTAAGTCTGTGGTATCAGTGTCAAGTACAGTAGGGAAAAATCACACGAAACAAATGGTCAGATTTTCAATATAGCAATTAATGATATTTGTGTGAATAAAAATATTTAGCCATGGGTCAAAAGTAGACTTTCTGATCAGCATTTGCATTTGTGAATTCGTATGTTTTTCCATCTCTGTTTATCTGTCCAATTCTTTAAATGTGTACACCATATTCAAAAGGTCTTGTCCAGATATGCATTTTTACCGTGATCAGCGCAGTTTCTCCTGGAAAATATCTCTGTCACTTCCATGGCTCCAGCATGACTACGACCCAGCACCAAAAGTGTTCAGATTCTCCTCTCTTGACAGATTCTATATAATTTTCTTTACAGTCTCTTATACGTATGATTGTCCAGTGAGTAGATATACAGTACAAGATAAACCCCTGTGAGTGATCACGACTATACAGAACAGAATTAGCCAGACAGTTTGTACATCTATAGAACACACTATCAAACTTGACATTTGAACAGAAAATACAAAGTCTTTGCTCATGGAGACGTCCCAAAGATAAAAATAATGATTTGGTGCCCCTCCCCCGCTGCCCCCCCCCCCACCCCACCACCCCACCCGCCTTAGTTATTGCATGCGATAGAAAACACAACAGGTAAAACAATGGACAGGAACAAGTGCGCTTCAGAAATATGATGAATGTAAAATCCTATACCTTTCACAGCTTTTTACTCTCTCCATCTTACACAGTGTCAGTTCTGCAATTGAGATTCGCTGAGTATTAAACAGTTGTGGTTTGTTATCGTTCTATCTATCTATCTATCTATCTATCTATCTATCTATCTATCTATCT